TGCATACATCTGTATATATCTTCTATATATTATACATATTTTATAAATAAAAAGGGCATACTATAAAGTGAATTAGTAAAGGGGCACCTGGGTGGCTCAGTCAGTTAAGTGTCCAACTTCAGCTCAGGTCATAATCTCACAGTCTGTGGGTTCAAGCCCCTCATCAGGCTCTGTGCTGAAAACTCAGAGCCTGGAGCCTGCTTCAGATTCCGTGTCTCCCTCTCTCCCTATCCCTCCCCTACTCGCACTCTGTCTGTCTCTCTCTCTCTCTCTCTCTCAAAAATAAACATTTAAAAAAATTTAAAGCGAATTAGCTGAATAAAAAATTTTAATGAAAAAATGTAAAAATGATGCCATTGAATAGATAGAATTTGAGAGTTAAGAACGGCTTTATAGCATGTTTTCTCTGCAAAGGTTGCAGAAAGAGGAATATCTACTGGTGGCATTTCGGCATGATTTATAACTTGATAGGGTCTTTTGTAATGATTCTCTACAGGGCGGTTACTCTGTCTGAGATTGTAATTAAGGCAAAGCTCACGCTGTGCAGGCGTTTCAGAATATAAATGGGTCAAAATAAAAGTCTCAATACATTTCTCCCCAACATGCGCATCACTGAAACTGAGATCGGTTTCATGTTAAAATATGTACTTCGTGAACATGAGTCCTGACCAAACTTATTTTGGTGTCTTGAACCCAACGAGGAATAAAAGCATGTCCCCCACCCCCTGGGTGTTCAAAACTTTACGTTTCCATGTGGTGACAAATACGTTAGAAGACAGAGAACTTTCTGGATACATCTTTTTTTTTTTTTTTTTAATTTTTTTTTTTTTTTTTTTAACGTTTATTTATTTTTTTGGGACAGAGAGAGACAGAGCATGAACGGGGGAGGGGCAGAGAGAGAGGGAGACACAGAATCAGAAACAGGCTCCAGGCTCTGAGCCATCAGCCCAGAGCCCGACGCGGGGCTCGAACTCATGGACCGCGAGATCGTGACCTGGCTGAAGTCGGACGCTTAACCGACTGCGCCACCCAGGCGCCCCTCTGGATACATCTTCAAAAGCCCAACCACTCCACTTGGAAAAAAAAAAAGGTGGGGGGAGGGAGCCAGAAACAACTCTCCTCCGTGAGGCTCTCAGCTACGTGGGAGGCCTGAGATTCACGGAGGGCTGGTGTCCAGAGATACTCTGAA